CGCCCTGGTAAACATTACCATCGTTCTCCACTAATAAACAAACGTTGTTTTTATAATAACAACAATAATGGGATTAAGCCTGACAATTTTGCAACTCCAAAACACTATGGTGTCCCGAACAAACATCCCAACAATGTTCTATTAATAGAAAAGGCACGGTCGCAAGGGGTTTTTGTTGTAACGGACAAAACCAACTTACATGGTCATGCTACTTCGTTCATATAAAACGAAAGCATAACAAGTGGAAAAAGATGAAAATGTTTATAAGTGCTGTTGTAAGATTTAGAAGAATTTTCAAAATAATTTTAGTTTTATGTAACTCTTTGGTTCTTCTTCTATTGAGCTTTCGATCTTGTCACTTGGATAAGTTGATTTATTTTTACAATAACTCCTGCGTAGAATATCCCAGACAAGAAACTAGAGAACTGATGAGGATTGGTGGCTCTTTGCGAGGTATTCCTTGTCTTCCCCCTGGTAAATATTACCATCGTTCTCCACTAATTAACAAACGCTGTTTTTATTAAAATAACAATAATGGGATTAAGCTTGACCATTTTGCAACTACTAAACAAATATAATGAATTCTTATACAGGCACAATACTCAAAATTATTAATGAATTATTTTGTAAGAATATAATAATGATATAAGTTGTTAATTATGTAATTATTTTTTGTTAAAAAATAATGAAGTCATTATTTGACTGTATGTCATTTAATATGATATGTTTAACTTGTTCAGAAAGTCGATTTAATGCCATATATTGTCTGGGAATATTTTCATAATTATTACCAGCCTGATTTTGAAGAAGAGTTAGTTTTACTCAGGTCGTTCGCATCCAAACCTATTCGATTTAAATTCGGTGTTTTATACATTTTGAAGGTTTTCGTCAATTTTCAAAAAACTTTGATCAGTATTTCCTCGACAATTAGTTGTAAAATTTTTAGATTTCATCTTATAATAAATTCTTAACATATAATAAAATTGAAAAATATCTAGAAGTTATTAAAAAAATTCCATCACAAACGAAATTGAGTCGGCATCATTCTGTAACAAACAGCCGATTTCGCTGTACGAAACGCTAAGAAGATGTCTTGGGTGACTTAATACGTCATGTGTTAGCAGCAATACAGGGTTTCCCATATTCGACGGTACCCATGTTTTTTTTTTTTTAAATAAAAGAAAAAATAAAAATTTGGCGGTTGGCAATGTTAATCATTTAATTTGTTCCAAGTAGATTTGTTTACATCAATTTTTGAATATGATGACGCCTCTGGCGTTGATGACGTACTGTGCCCTTTTTGCTACATTTTCCATCGTTTTTGCCAACATTTCGGCCGGAATAGCGGCTATTTCTTGTTGTCCTTGAGCTCTTCGTGAGCTTGAGCTCGTACAAAAGCATTTTGGTGAGAATTTTCCAGAAAAAAAGATGGAATTCAAGCGTGATAGTGTGATTTCTTTATATTTGACTGGAAAACTACTATCGTTAGAGCACTCCATCATTTAAATGTGAATAAATCTTTTGTGTGTCATACCATAGCTCGTTACCTTTACGTACTGGTAGCGTAGCCCGACGTCAAGGAAGTGGACGGAAGAAAACAGCAATATCAGCAGAATTGGTTCGAAAAGTAAAGAAGCGACTTGATCGAAACTCGCGTCGCAGTGGCCGAAAATTGGCTCATGAGCTGAACATATCACAATTTGCAAAAAGTGCAAGAACTTACACCGCAACAGAAAGGAAAAAGCCTCAAAAGAGCTAAAGAGTTGCTTACTTGGCGCTTCGCCGTGCGAGGGTTTCATTGGCCGACAATTCGAACAAATCAAAACTTATTCTAAAATTTGATGCTATTTCCGACATTTTTGCTTTCTTTCAATAAACTTAAAAAAAGAAAAATAAAATCATGGCGTTTGATTTTGTTAAAGTTTTTTATCTTACCCTGTATATATTAAATTTGGAAATGCAAATGAAAAAAATTATATAAAACGTCTAAAAAAATAATTACTATATTCTTTTATCTTAAGTTCTTAACTCATTAAATAAATAGTATAAACATTATATTTTTAAACATAAATTTGCAGAATTGATTTTGTAATATAGTAAACAAAAATAGACCATTTTTGCTTTCTTTCAATAAACTTAAAAAAAGAAAAATAAAATCATGGCGTTTGATTTTGTTAAAGTTTTTTATCTTACCCTGTATATATTAAATTTGGAAATGCAAATGAAAAAAATTATATAAAACGTCTAAAAAATAATTACTATATTCTTTTATCTTAAGTTCTTAACTCATTAAATAAATAGTATAAACATTATATTTTTAAACATAAATTTGCAGAATTGATTTGGTAATATAGTAAACAAAAATAGACCAGTGTGGGCATGTTTGTTCGGGATACCTGTCTTACGCCCTGGTAAACATTACCATCGTTCTCCACTAATAAACAAACGTTGTTTTTATAATAACAACAATAATGGGATTAAGCCTGTCAATTTTGCAACACCAAAACACTATGATGTCCCGAACAAACATCCCAACAATGTTCTATTAATAGAAAAGGCACGGTCGCAAGGGGTTTTTGTTGTAACGGACAAAACCAACTTACATGGTCATGCTACTTCGTTCATATAAAACGAAAGCATAACAAGTGGAAAAAGATGAAAATGTTTATAAGTGCTGTTGTAAGATTTAGAAGAATTTTCAAAATAATTTTAGTTTTATGTAACTCTTTGGTTCTTCTTCTATTGAGCTTTCGATCTTGTCACTTGGATAAGTTGAGTTATTTTTACAATAACTCCTGCGTAGAATATCCCAGACAAGAAACTAGAGAACTGATGAGGATTGGTGGCTCTTTCCGAAGCTTAGGTATTCCTTGTCTTTCCCCCTGGTAAATATTACCATCGTTCTCCACTAATTAACAAACGCTGTTTTTATTAAAATAACAATAATGGGATTAAGCCTGACCATTTTGCAACTACTAAACAAATATAATGAATTCTTATACAGGCACAATACTCAAAATTATTAATGAATTATTTTGTAAGAATATAATAATGATATAAGTTGTTAATTATGTAATTATTTTTTGTTAAAAAATAATGAAGTCATTATTTGACTGTATGTCATTTAATATGATATGTTTAACTTGTTCAGAAAGTCGATTTAATGCCATATATTGTCTGGGTATATTTTCATAATTATTACCAGCCTGATTTTGAAGAAGAGTTAGTTTTACTCAGGTCGTTCGCATCCAAACCTATTCGATTTAAATTCGGTGTTTTATACATTTTGAAGGTTTTCGTCAATTTTCAAAAAACTTTGATCAGTATTTCCTCGACAATTAGTTGTAAAATTTTTAGATTTCATCTTATAATAAATTCTTAACATTTAATAAAATTGAAAAATATCTAGAAATTATTAAAAAAATTCCATCACAAACGAAATTGAGTCGGCATCATTCTGTAACAAACAGCCGATTTCGCTGTACGAAACGCTAAGAAGATGTCTTGGGTGACTTAATACGTCATGTGTGGGCAGCAATACAGGGTTTCCCATATTCGACGGAACCAATGTTTTTTTTTTTTTAAATAAAAGAAAAAAATAAAAATTTGGCGGTTGGCAATGTTAATCATTTAATTTGTTCCAAGTAGATTTGTTTACATCAATTTTTGAATATGATGACGCCTCTGGCGTTGATGACGTACTGTGCCCTTTTTGCTGCATTTTCCATCGTTTTTGCCAACATTTCGGCCGGAATAGCGGCTATTTCTTGTTGTCCTTGAGCTCTTCTACGGTCCTTGGCTTGTTAACGTAAACCTTTGACTTCAAATATCCCCACAAGAAGAAGTCAGGCGGCGTCAAATCGGGCGAACGCGGTGGCCAGTCCAAATCACCACATCACAACCATCGATTCTTCAGAAAATCGATTGGTAACAGCATGGCCATTTTCATTTTGGAAGAAAAACGGCCCAATGACCGTTTTTGCACTAACGCCGCTGTTAAAATAAATCACGAGGTGTTCTTTAATATAATACTTCATGTATTTGCAAAGGTTAGAAACGAAGTAAGTAATAATCCAGATACAATGACAAAAGTAGCTTCATATGATGGAAGTGCTAAACATAAACAAATTGCTGAATGCAACAACCAATCAGAAAACGACAAGTGGTTTAATACTTGACGAAGAATGTGGCAAATTAGGGATATGGGATTACAGTGTTGTAATTAAACAATGTTACGTTTCAACACTCTCACTCATTGTTTTAATTCCAACATTCCTAATAGTTGTATATTATTTTTAAACTGATGAGCCACTAAAGGTTTTGTAAAAATATCTGCTCGTTGCAATTTCGCGCTAATGTATTTAAATGTAATTGTTTTGTTATTTTTAAGTTCGTGTATGAATTGTAGTCGTATGTCTATATGTTTTGTACTATGATGTAATTCCGGATTTTCTATTAGACGAAGAGCACCTTGATTATCCACATGGATGTCTGACTCTCACTGAATCATACCTCACTACTGGAGAGTAGAGCTGGCAAACTATCGATAGTCGCACCATTCGATATTTTCGATAGTTTGTTGGAAAACTATCGATAGTATCGAATAATGTGGGAATGCCAATATTAATTTTTCAACAATGCGCGCAACTTTTTTTTCATTGTTCTATGTTATTAATTTGTGTGTTATAATTATTTTTGTATTATGGTTTTTGTTAAACTTTTGCGATTTTTATTAAAAATAAAAATAACTACTAACAAAACTCATCACAAATGTAACAACCATTCAAGTCAATATCAACACCGATATGTACTTACATGTATTTTTAATAACGGACTCAATTATATTAAATGATCTAATGATTAATATTTTTTTATTAAGAAACTCTTAAACAAAACAAATTGACATAAAAACAAAAAATATTTGGAATTCATTATTACAGTTATTATATTTTATTAAAATATGTACATATAGTAAATATTAATTATAAACTATATTTATAGTCAAAAATAACAGACAATAACGCTTAAACAAAACAACAACATAAAAACAAAAATATTTGGAATTCATTTTTATAAGGCACTTTGAGATCAACTTTTACAAAAAAATGTATTTGCATGTAGTAAAAATTAATTAAAAATTATATTTATATTAAAAATTAAAAAAAAAACAGATAATAACGCTTCAACAAAACAACTAAACATAAAAACAAAAAATATTTGAAATTCGTTATTGCAGATACATTCAGATCTTATTTTATAAAAATATTTAATCAAATTAATTTAAATTTAAAATTATAATGAAAATTACCTTGAAAAAGGTATTATTTGTTTAAAAACCTTACTTCTTATAATTCTTTACTGACCCAACAATTTTTGTTAACAAAGAGCAGCATATCAACATTTTTTGGCTTTAGGCTCGATCTTCTTTCCGAAATTATGGCTCCGGTTTTGCTAAACATTCGCTCAGCCTCTGTCGAAGTTGCTGGTACGCATAAATAGCGTAAGGCACATGACTTTGTGAGTGACATTTGGCCAGAACAATTCTGAAAATAAACATAACACTACGTAAATTTGTTAATAAATAGTTTTGTATTATATTATTTACCTTCCAGTACTGTAATGGATCTATTTCTAATGCTGCATTTTCATTTTCAAAATATTGCCTAAGAGAAATGATGGCGTCTACTTGAGGTGATCTTACTTTAGAGGCAATTTTATTTCCTACGAATTTTAAAAGCGGTGGCTGCGAACTTTGATGCATATTTTTAGAACATGATGGTTCTAAATTATCTTGTTCCATGGTGTTGTTTTTGTTCATACCACTCAACACGTTTTGTAAAAATTGTGTTCCTCCATCTGCATTGCTTGGGAAAAGAAAACCTTCCTTCTTGAACCGAGGGTCTAATAATGTTCCGAGTCTTGTAACTGTACGCTCCTCGTAAGGAAATAGTCTTTTCTTTATTCTTTCAAGCAGAAATATACAAGCTTGATGGCCTTCTGAAGTTTTCATAGTACTTTTTAACTCATCAAGAGATTTAAAAAGACCACATGTTAGAGGAACTACTAGGGAAATAGTAACAGCTGCACTTGACGATGTTTGGACTGTAGCGGAATCAAATGGCATAAGCAATTGTTTAAGGTCCTGCAAAAATTCTATATCGTCTGCCGTTAAAGGTAGCGGTGCCTTTGGTGTCATTAGCAGTACATTTGAAATAGAATTATTTGTTAAAAGAATGCTCTCCACCATTCTGAGAGCACTGTTCCAGCGGGTCGGTACCTCCTGTTTTAGGCTGTGGGGCATATCTCTTCCTTGGTCCGCTTTAAACTTTTCGTAGGAAATTGTGCTGCTCTTAAAATAGCTCACAATTTTCTTACATTTCCCTAAAGTAGTTTTAACATAATCTTGCGCTAAGCAATCTTGCACCACAAGGTTAATAGTGTGTGCAAAGCATGGCAGATTTCGTTTTTGAAGCAATTCGCATGCTTTCAACATACTGCTAGCATTATCGCTGACAACTGCCACCACTTTCTCCATTAGACCCCACTCTTCTAACACGGCGCGCATAGATATTGATATATTTTCTGCGTTGTGATTAGTGGAACATAACAGTTTTTTTGTAGACAAAACAGCTGTACGGAGAACAAAATCTTTTGTAACAAAGTGGCACGTTACGGTGAGGTAGCTCTCATTTGCGCGCGATGTCCATAGGTCTGTTGTAATAGCGCAGTGTTGTAACCCGTTAAGAATAGTTTGCAACTTACTCTTTGTTTCGTTGTACATATTTACCATCAGAACGTTTTTTAGGGTGTTTCTTGAAGGCAAAACGTAGCGCGGATCTAAGCATCGGACAAAATCACGGAATCCTGTATCCTCTACTACACTGAATGGCTGTACATCAGTGGCGATCAAACTCATTAAAGCCTTATCAAGTTCTTTTTTACGTGCCGATTCAGTATCGTAGGTGACTGAATTGTTGAAAAAGTTATCAATTGTTTTCGTTGGTTTCGGAAGCTGATTATAAGAAGGATGGCTACGTTTTAAATGATCCAACAGATTTGAAGTGTTACCGCTAGTTTTGTATATTTTCCCACACAGCTGACACTTAGCATTTCTTTTATCTGTTGTTTTTTGAAAATAGTTCCATACTTCTGAGAAACCGTGGCGTGCTCTTTTTGACTTATTAGTTTCCCCACCAATCGTGCTATTTTCGCGTTCTTCTTCATTTTCATTACCAGTTTCTTCTATGGAAATGGAGGTAGAAATATCTGTAAACATTTTTAATCAACAATTGAACAAAATATAAATAAACACATTTTACTTACCGTTTGGTCTTTTCAGATATCTGTTCATTTTAAACAGTGTTCTGTTTTTTGCATCTATTTGTAACAAATCAAAGTTGATAAATTAACAACGCCGTTTATATAGAAGATATCTAAGTCGTTTAATTAACAAAGTTGCGCCTCTAACTGAATAAATGCCGGAATCCGTTTTTTCAACGATAGTATCGCTATCGAAAAAAAACCATCGATAGTCTAGTGAAAACCAAACCATCGATACTATCGATAATACTATCGATAGTTTGCCACCTCTACTGGAGAGTACGTCTCTTTATTTGGGAACTCTTAATTTTAAATACCCACTTACAGCCAACAATATTTTTCAACGCCGGCTTCTCCACCAATGCCCATGTCTGGTTTTCCTCAAGGGAGTTAATCTCTTCTTTGATGGCTGATATCCATTGTTGTGAATATTGAGAATTCAGAGCTTCGTCATATGTGGTGGGCTCGGATATAGTTGCTACACAACTCGTGTGGTCTATACCAAATCGCTGAGGTGGAACTATTTCTTTTCGCAAACCATACCTTTTGTGTTCTCTACCTTCATCTACTAATTCAAGCTGTGTTGTGTTATCCGGTGTTGTAACATCTGTATCAATTGTAGATGGTTCCTTCTTCATCGAACTCTTTGGAGTGCTTGACAATTGGCGTTTGAATGACGAAATGTCCAATTCGTTGCTTCGCTCTTCTACATGGTCGTGACTTTTTTCATCTTCACACTCTGAGATCGATCTAATTTTAATCGCCCTTTCATTGAAAACGACATAACAGCTAACAACCACTTTTTTTGATTCGGGATCATACAAACGAAAATTTTTAGCTGTTGGTTCATAACCAACTAGAAACATCTTCTTGGATTTAGCATCCCATTTCTTTCTTCCAAGCTGTTTGGGTTCGTACACCATACACTCACTGCCGAAAATTTTAATATGACCCAAATTTGGTTTATTTTCAAACCAACACTCAAATGGTGTTTTTGTATTTTTTCTTAATGCTGATCTATTTAGAACATAAACAGCTGTTCTCACTGCCTCTGGCCATAGAAATTTACTTAAATTACTCGCCAGCAGCATTGTGCGGGCGGACTCTTGAACCGTCCTATTATCTCTTTCAATGAATCCATTTTGTTGTGGAGTATAAGGGGTAATCTTTTCCAAAATAATGCCATTATTGGACAGGAGCTCCGCAACTTCTTTATTCATAAACTCCGTGCCATTATCACACCGCATGTATTTCACTCGTTCGCCAGTCATGTTGCGTACCATAGAAATGAAAGATTTCAATTTGTTATGCTCTTCAGATTTGCTTTTCAAAAAGTAAACATACCTGAAACATGTGCTTTCGTCTTTAAGCAACATGAAATAACGAACGCCTCCAATTCCAATCTCATGCATTGGACCACAGAGATCCATATGAAAATATTCACATTTAGCTGCGTCCCGTTTTACCGATGATCCATGTGTTGAACGATGCATTTTTCCACGCTGACAGTCTTCACAAAAGAAATCGGATTTATCTTTTACATCTAATCCGTTAGCAAGATTTTTGTCGCACATTGTTTTGATAGTGACAGTATTAATATGCCCAAGCCGACAATGCCATTGTTGAAGGGAATCCAATTTTGCAGAATTTGCCATAAAATTACTTCTCACTTGAAACAACATTCGGTATTGATTCTTGGAGTCACGTACACCACTTGCTAATATATTGTTGTCGTTGTCTCTCAATGTACAATTTGTGGATTCTGTTACCATAGAGAGCCCTTTTGATGTTGTTGATCCAGTTGAGAATAAGTTTTGTTTTAATTGTGGAACGTATTGTACGTTGCTGAGGATGCGAGGTATCCATTTGTCATTTACAAGAGAGTTAATACGGACAGTACCAAAACCTTTAATTAGCAATCTTTCATTATTCGCAATGTAAACGAACCGGTTTGACGTTAACGGTTCAAAATCTGAGAACCACTCTCTTCTTGGTGTCATATGTTCTGTAGCACCTGAGTCTGCAATCCACACATCACTGTATGGATCATCGAAGCAACAAAAGCAACTTCATCATCGTGCTTATCTCTTTGTTTTGAAGTCTCTCTCTTTTTCTTATTTTGTTTTCTCTTTATTCGGCATTCTCTTTCCCAGTGTCCCATTTTTTGACAAAAATTACATTTCGACGTTCTCTTCCTCCCTTCAAATGATTTATGGAATTTGTTTGTTTTTGCATTATATGCTGCCTCTGTTACTTCTGCGTCACCGTTCTTTTGTAATTGGTCTTCTTCTAATTGCAATTTTGCCATCATGTTTTCTATTGTTCTTCCTTCTTTTATGTTGTACCAAACTGTTTTAAAGTTTTGATAATTCGGTGGTAAACTACTTATTATGCGTACCATTTTTATATTGTCAGACAGCTTTTCTCCCTGTGCCTCTATTTCAGCTGCTAACGAAGACACTTTTGATACATATGCTGCAACTGATTCTTCTTCTTGCATTTTTAGAGAGAAATATTCTTCGTAAAGACACATCACCTTCACTTCACTTTGTTTGTCGTGTATATTCTGTAATTTTTCGTAGACTTCGTTGGAAGTTGTACATGACATTACGTGGTTTGCCTTAATTCCAAAGACCCATAGACATAAAACAGACATTTGTGCCGAAGCTCTATATCAAATAATATGATGTAATAAAATTTTTCGTTGACTTTATTTAAAACCTGTATGGTCTCGCCTTCTGCGAACAGATTATATATACATGATGAGATGAAAAATCTGCAACCAACTTCAGACTGCCGTCATTTCTAAGCCACTCGTCCATCAGCTGTTAAAATTATTCCAGTGACAGGTCATTATATTGTTTAGAAGCATACAAAAGCATTTTGGTGAGAATTTTCCAGAAAAAAAGATGGAATTCAAGCGTGATAGTGTGATTTCTTTATATTTGACTGGAAAACTACTATCGTTTCGCTATCGTTAGAGCACTCCATGATTTAAATGTGAATAAATCTTTTGTGTGTCATACCATAGCTCGTTACCTTTACGTACTGGTAGCGTAGCCCGACGTCAAGGAAGTGGACGGAAGAAAACAGCAATATCAGCAGAATTGGTTCGAAAAGTAAAGAAGCGACTTGATCGAAACTCGCGTCGCAGTGGCCGAAAATTGGCTCATGAGCTGAACATATCACAATTTGCAAAAAGTGCAAGAACTTACACCGCAACAGAAAGGAAAAAGGCACAAAAGAGCTAAAGAGTTCCTTACTTGGCGCTTCGCCGTGCGAGGGTTTCATTGGCCGACCAATTCGAACAAATCAAAACTTATTCTAAAATTTGATGCTATTTCCGACATTTTTGCTTTCTTTCAATAAACTTAAAAAAAGAAAAATAAATCGTTTTTGCCAACATTTCGGCCGGAATAGCGGCTATTTCTTGTTGTCCTTGAGATCTTCTACGGTCCTTGGCTTGTTAACGTAAACCTTTGACTTCAAATATCCCCACAAGAAGAAGTCAGGCGGCGTCAAATCGGGCGAACGCGGTGGCCAGTCCAAATCACCACATCACCACCATCGATTCTTCAGAAAATCGATTGGTAACAGCATGGCCATTTTCATTTTGGAAGAAAAACGGCCCAATGACCGTTTTTGCACTAACGCCGCTGTTAAAATAAATCACGAGGTGTTCTTTAATATAATACTTCATGTATTTGCAAAGGTTAGAATCGAAGTAAGTAATAATCCAGATACAATGACAAAAGTAGCTTCATATGATGGAAGTGCTAAACATAAACAAATTGCTGAATGCAACAACCAATCAGAAAACGACAAGTGGTTTAATACTTGACGAAGAATGTGGCAAATTAGGGATATGGGATTACAGTGTTGTAATTAAACAATGTTACGTTTCAACACTCTCACTCATTGTTTTAATTCCAACATTCCTAATAGTAGTATATTATTTTTAAACTGATGAGCTACTAAAGGTTTTGTAAAAATGTCTGCTCGTTGCAATTTCGCGCTAATGTATTTAAATGTAATTGTTTTGTTATTTTTAAGTTCGTGTATGAATTGTAGTCGTATGTCTATATGTTTTGTACTATGATGTAATTCCGGATTTTCTATTAGACGAAGAGCACCTTGATTATCCACATGGTTGACTGACTCTCACTGAATCATACCTCACTACTGGAGAGTACGTCTCTTTAAAATCGATATCAGGTTTCTGTGAATAGCCTTTGGCTACCAATCGAGCTTTGAATATGGGATCTTTATTTGGGAACTCTTAATTTTAAATACCCACTTACAACCAACAATATTTTTCAACGCCGGCTTTTCCACCAATGCCCATGTCTGGTTCTCCTCAAGGGAGTTAATCTCTTCTTTGATGGCTGATATCCATTGTTGTGAATATTGAGAATTCAGAGCTTCGTCATATGTGCTGGGCTCGGATATAGTTGCTACACAACTCGTGTGGTCTATACCAAATCGTTGAGGTGGAACTATTTCTTTTCGCAAACCATACCTTTTGTGTTCTCTACCTTCATCTACTAATTCAAGCTGTGTTGTGTTATCCGGTGTTGTAACATCTGTATCAATTGTAGATGGTTCCTTCTTCATCGAACTCTTTGGAGTGCTTGACAATTGGCGTTTGAATGACGAAATGTCCAATTCGTTGCTTCGCTCTTCTACATGGTCGTGACTTTTTTCATCTTCACACTCTGAGATCGATCTAATTTTAATCGTCCTTTCATTGAAAACGACATAACAGCTAACAACCACTTTTTTTGATTCGGGATCATACAAACGAAAATTTTTAGCTGTTGGTTCATAACCAACTAGAAACATCTTCTTGGATTTAGCATCCCATTTCTTTCTTCCAAGCTGTTTGGGTTCGTACACCATACACTCACTGCCGAAAATTTTAATATGACCCAAATTTGGTTTATTTTCAAACCAACACTCAAATGGTGTTTTTGTATTTTTTCTTAATGCTGATCTATTTAGAACATAAACAGCTGTTCTCACTGCCTCTGGCCATAGAAATTTACTTAAATTACTCGCCAGCAGCATTGTGCGGGCGGACTCTTGAACCGTCCTATTATCTCTTTCAATGAATCCATTTTGTTGTGGAGTATAAGGGGTAATCTTTTCCAAAATAATTCCATTATTGGACAGGAGCTCCGCAACTTCTTTATTCATAAACTCCGTGCCATTATCACACCGCATGTATTT